GAGTTTTCTGCATCCACAAAGACTCAAACTCGAAACGTTGCTTAAGCGACATCAAACTGCTTAACACTTGTTGGTTTTGAACTGATTATTTGATAGACAAGTGCGCCACAAGCCACTACACTTTAGCAGCCTTCCTAATAAACCCCAACACAAAGACCAACTTCCAATTTCTAATCCCCTCTTTCTGTCTCTACAGTCATTCCTGTCGCCTTCAATTGCGACTTTCTCACACCTCCACTCTCTACCTCTCTGTCTCTTCTTCCATGTCACTTTCTCTCTCTACACACAATCCCAATTTTTATATATATTAGGGTTTTTGGTCATTTGTGCTTTTTTCAAATGAACAGCACAACCAATAATAACAATTCCAATCAAACCCCACAGGCACCAGCTGCACCGGCGACGGGTGCTGCCAAGCAATCCGAAGAGGAATCATCTTCACCTGGATCGCCGTCTTCCCCGGATAATTCGTCGGAAAAAACAGAAGCCGCCGCCGTGGAAGAGGACGTGGTGATGACGGAGAAGGACCCTGCAGCCGCGAGTGTGAATTCGACCGACGATCCAGCTGATGACGAGTCCGGGAGTCAAGCAACTGTTTTCTGCATCAAGCTGAGGCAGCCCAAGTCCAATTTGCTGCATAAGATGAGCGTTCCTGAACTCTGCCGCACTTTCAGGTACGTTTTGAAGATTAAATTTGCTAAATAGCACCTGGGCTGAGCTTGTTGCTTTTGCTAATCTTGTGTTGGGTTTTGCTAGAGTTATTTGCGAGTTTCAAATTTGGATGGAAATTGCGGCGCTGTTATTTGTTTGCGCTTTTCGTGCTTGTATTGGCCATGATAATATGTATATATCAAAATTAAGGATAAACTGTAGTCTAAAGAAATGGTCGAAGATTTATTCTTCATTATTTTGGTTACTGTGCGAATTCGGAAGATGGAAGGTGCTTTATATTATGTGCTCACTCTTTCGTAATCCTCTGCACCACCATCTAGTCCTAGTACCGTGTTGTTGTCTTTTCTTTGTTCTTTAGTTGTCTCTGGTATGTTTTTCAATTAAAAAATATGTAAGTCTTGGAAATAAGGTGCAGAGTTTTATCAGTATTTAGTTTTACAAATTTTTGTTGTGAAACCTTCTAATTTCGAGTTCAGGAGGTATGTTGCTCTCTAGAAAATTTTCGAATGGTGGAGAGTAAGAGATAAGAGAGTTACACTTGCAGCCATTTTAACGTCGTTAACCAAAATTTTGGTACGAAGAGTTGATTTTTGGCTTGTAAAAAAGAAGGCTGATTATTGGTCTGCGGTTGATCATAACAGATGCTCATCCGGTGCATGAGTTGTTGAACTTGTAATTTAAGAGTGCATGTATTACTTGTGTGATGTTGATATGTGATCAATGTTTTTGCATATCGGTCATGGATGTGTTAGTTCATGTTTACTGAAATGTGGAACACTACATGTACCATCTCTCTTACTGTGGTTTATTCTAAGTTGTGATTTTATTCTATATGCTATATGAATGTTTCATTGGTTATCTGCAGTGCTGTTGCTTGGTGTGGAAAGTTGAATACCTTAGCTTGTGCATCAGAAACGTGTGCCAGGATCCCAAGGTGAGACAATCACAGTTTGGTAGGTTAGCATCAAAGCTGCACCACACGAGTTTTGGATTTTTCCATAACATGTGTGTGTGTGTGTGAAGAGTTTTCCATTTACTAAATGCTGGTAATTACAGTATTATTGATTCAGAAGTTTGTGCTGTTCATAGTTTAAAATGGCGACGCCTCGAGGCGAGGCGACCGAGGCGAGGACCATATCGCCTCGCCACTGCCTGAGGCGACCCAGTTCGCGAGGCGCTCGCTTCAGGTCGCCTTGGCTCGCCTTTTCGCGTGGCGAGAGGTGCTTGTGAGGCGCGCCTCGGCTCCTTTCAGAGAAATTAAAGGCGCTGTCCATTTAAAAAAAAAAAAAAAGAAAGAAAAGCGTGTGCCATTTTTTGGAAAGAGAATAAATTAATGCAGATCGAGCACTTTCTTCACTTCATCTCCCAGATCCATGAAGCAAAAAAACTTCAGTGAAAAATCTCTAAGTGGCCTCTCCCCAAACTAGAACTAGGGTTTCTGCGAAAGAACTCCTTAGGCTTCTCAAATTTGAAAATTGTAGAAACCCACGGTCGACCCATCCCATTTCCGGCCTCCTCTGAACTCCAGCCACCATCTCGCCGCCGCCAAGACGGTCGGTGATGCGTGACTTTTCCTTTCTTTTCCTTCTCCCTTTTCTCCGTTTTCTCGTACCCACCACCTATCTTTTTTCTTTTTTTTTTTTTCTTTAATGTTTTACTTTATTTATGTTTACTAGGTATGTCAATAGTCAACGGTGACAGTTTTCTTTCATTTTCTTTTACTTCACACGTTTTATTTACCTTATTACTAGTATTCACAATTAAGTTTTAGATGCTTTTAGCATTCACTACTAAATTTTATTTATGTAATTTTTTTTAGGATATTTAAGATTATTTTGGCACTTAGACTTGAGTATATGATAGCCATGCCGAATCGCCTCGCCATTCACCATTTAAAACTATGGTGCATTTATAGTAGAGGTCATCTGGTTTATGTGTACTACTTCATATTTTGAGACCCAATCACCTAAATAGCTGGTATTCATGAAATTACCAAGTTTCAGAAAATATCTGCATCAGATTTAGAAGAGCCCAAATCATTATATGTGGAATTTTAGCTGCACTGTATTTATTTGTGAATACTGTTTCATAATCCAAATTTTTTTAGGACACTTGAAGTGATGTCATAATATGGTAAAATTTAATATATCTTTTATTCTTCATACCTTGACATAGCTTTCGTAAGGACTATTAGAGGCATCAATGTAACAATATTTACATTCTGGTATTTGTTGTTCTGGGAACTAGAGTCTTTATTTGTAATTTATGCTAGTATTTTGTCTTAAACTATCACATTGTGCGGTCGATTCCCCGTGTCACAATTGATCATCAGATGCTAAATGCTCATTATGGTTATTTTGCAATCCATGGCTGGAAAATGCATCACGGTTTTGCACTGGACCTCTTGTAAGATTGTTGAGTAAATGATTAATAGATCCGTGGTATTTTTCTTGTAGCTCAACTAGTAATCCACCATTTTGGATCCCAATACATCTAGTCATACCAGAGCGACCAACTGAGTGTACAGTTTTCAATGTTATAGCAGGTATCATCAACTTTGTACTGATACTTCATTAGATAACTAAACTGATTCTATATCCACATGTTGGATATATAATCATGAGATCTTATACCCTATATGCTTTTTTCTTGTTTGATATTTCGGCAGATTCTCCTCGTGACTCTGTTCAATTTATTGAGTGGTCCCCTACTTCGTGTCCCCGCGCACTGCTTATAGCTAATTTTCATGGACGTATAACCATTTGGACTCAGCCTTATGGGGTATGCTATTGCGTTTAACTTATAAGTTGAGGAAATTAGCAGCTCAGATGCCGTAGGACAAATGTGAAATGTTTTCTGACATTATTTTGTTATGGTTATTTAGGGACAAGCAAATCTTGTGAAAGAGGCTAGTTGCTGGCAACTGGAGTATGAATGGCGTCAGGATATTGCTGTTGTTACAAAGTGGCTGTCGGGAGTTTCACCGGTATGTAGCTCTTTAGCGATTGAGGTTATTAGGAGGACATCGATCAAATTTAGCTTCAACATCTATCCTGACTTGGTATGTCATAAATTAGTATAGGTGGCTCTCAGCTAGTTCCAGTGGTTCCACAAAGTCTACATTCGAGGAGAAATTCCTCTCTCAGCAGGCACATGCACCAGGTTCATCTTTGTTTGTATGCCTTCTTCATCATTGGTAGTGTTCCTCTTGAACATTTTTAATTAGTTTGGATTTAGATTCAAGGACTTATGATCACTCATGAACTCACCATCTGCTTTAGTTCGTTGTATGATGGCAATCAGCCACGGTACATCTTCATACGTAAGTCTTATTCTTATATAGCCTCTGAGCATTTTTCTTTGTATATGGTGACAGCTGGTTGGCCAAATTTTCTCTGTATTTGCTCTGTTTTCTCTTCGGGATCTGTTCAGCTCCATTGGTCCCAGTGGCCGCCTAACCAGAGCAATGCATCGTCAAAGTGGTTTTGCACAAAAAAAGGTCTTTTGGGAGCTGGGCCTAGTGGGATAATGGCTGCTGATGCTATTATTACAGATTCTGGAGCCATGCATGTGGCTGGCGTTCCCATTGTCAACCCATCGACTGTTGTTGTTTGGGAAGTCACACCTGGCCCTGGAGATGGTTTTCAAGCCACTCCAATGGCAAGTGTGAGTAATGAAGTTCCACCATCGCTTAACCCTCCTTCTTGGGATGGTTTCGCTCCATTAGCTGCCTATTTGTTTAGCTGGCAAGAGTATATTTTATTAGAATCAAAACAAGGGGATAAACAAAGGGAACGAGATTACAGTGATATGATTGCACTTCACTGTTCTCCAGTTTCCAACTTCTCTGCTTATGTGAGTCCAGAAGCTGCAGCTCAATCATCAGACACCACAACTTGGGGTTCTGGTGTTACTGCAGTTGCCTTCGATCCAACACGTGGTGGTTCAGTGATATCTGTTGTGATAGTTGAAGGTATAACTGCTATACTGGTACAAATTGCGTTCACTCACTTTCCATATCGACTTAATATTTCCTCCTTGTGCTGTCCAATCTGCTTAGCTTTTGCATGCTACTTTATGCTTGTTAGTAAGTTCATGCCTTCTTTTCCGATTTAAATTGGAACCAAAGATTTTTTTTTTTCATTCATATATTTGTTTATCTGTC